ATGTAAAGGTTGTGTTAAAACAAACAGTAAACCCAATAACTCTGTTTGAGTGTATTTTTTGGAAAGTATTTGACTTAACATGTATAATGGTATTGATGTGGATGGTTTTTATGTTATTATAGGTAAAAGAAGGGTGCAAGAGAACAAAAGAAAAAAAAACTGCCATAGGCCTTTCCTCATATAACTGAAGGATAAGCAAGACTTCTAAACTTGAGTAGACTTCGACTAGAGATTCCATTCTACTGTACCAGTTGTTTTGAAAGTTCTTAAGTTTTTGAGCTGGGGCTTACTTGCAATAAAGAGTGTAAACTATTTTTTCTTGACAAAAATTACTATAAAAGAAAAATTTTTAGCAAAGTAAATACGATCAGGAAAGAGTTTTACAAAACAATGAGTAATTATTATATTTTATTTGAGATTTTGAAAGGTATATAAATATTTATTCTTAAAATAATAAATTGTCAGCTTTTTGAAAATCATTGTATTTGAATACTCAACTGGCCTTCGAATTCACCTGATCTGAATCTTATAGAAAACCTATGGGTCATACTAAAGAATAGAGTAAAGAAAATCATAAATAATAGGCTTATAAAAAAATTAACACTACTGATTTTTGGTTAATTATTCAAAAAGAATGGGATGGTTTAGATCAAGACCTCTATCTTAATTTAGCAGGTAGTATAAAAAACTGTCTTGAACAAGTGATTAAGAGGGAGGGAAAAAAATCTGATTATTGATATTTATGTATTTTTTTTTATGATGATTGTCATCATTTTCATGAATTTTTATGCAAATAAAGTCTATTTTATGAGTTTTTTATTAGTCACAAGAAAAGTCTAGATCTTTTCTGTGACTACTGTATATATATTACTTTTTCAATAGTTTAAGACAAAAAGTATTAGAATATTTGATTGTCCTATAAATAATCTTTGCAAAATAAATATTCTTTAATATAATTGAATTAGCAGATTATATGATTTAAAACCAGTAGCAATATTTTTATTGTTTGATAATTCTATTTGATATATTGGCACATTATCTTAATAATAGTTAATATAGTTGAATTATAAGTGTTAAGTGTGGATTAAACCTATAAAGAAAACTGTAAAATGTAACGTTATAATTGAATATTCAATAAAAACCATGCATTGTAACATTCTTCACCTAAAAAAAAAAAAAATTTTTTATTTATATTTGAGAATATACAGTATGATTTTAAAGGTCTAGAATATTTATATCGAATTAATAAAAAATTGGATTTGTAATTTATATAATTAGTTAAAAACAATATGATTTTCATACAATATAAATACTTACAATTAGATTGAAAAAAATAATATAGTAATATTATATTGGTCATCATATTCACCAGATTTTAATCCTGTGGAACATATTTGAAATGAAATAAAACATAGGTTGTATAATTTAGAAATAGAAATTAATAATATAGAACAATTATAGGAATCAGTTAATATTGTGTGAAATTCAATTGAAGTAGAACTTTATAAAACTTTAATTGAAACCATGCCACATAAAATTAAAGATGTTATTGTTATTAGGAAGGTTATATTAATGGGTAGTAAATAATTATAAAATCTTTTTAGATTATAATAAATAAATTAATATACAGTCAAACCTTTTTATACCGATATGCCTGGGCCAGGTCATTTGTCGTTACAACCAGTTTATTGGTATAAAAATTGATTTTTTACTATGTTTTATAATAAATGGGAAAACAAAATTATATCGTTATAACAAAATATCGTTATAAAGATGTTTGACTGTATACTGTATGTGTATTTGCTAATAAAAAGTACCAAAAAATTGTACTAACAAAAATTATAAATACTGTAACTTATATTTAATTTAATTATAATAAAAGATATAAAGTGGTAAGTTTTTATGATGGCTACTGTAAATACAAAAAATACTATCTTCGCTATTTGTCTTTTCGCGCTATCTAATTAATTTTTGCTATATCGCTACAGGATCTAGTTGATTCATTTATTTCGTCGTTTTCCCTAATTCTCAATACGATCGTTGCATATCGACCAAAACTTTATCAGCAATCGTTAAATAATGATACTTTATTTTTCCCGGTACATGTCATTCTCACATTCCTACGGAGTTAAGAAATAAGACCAAGGTTAATTTTGATAATCTACTAGAACATAGGAATTTCGAAAACTAATGCCGAGAAATATTGACAAAGTTAAAAGTTCTCAAAAATAAATTAAAAATAAATTAATGTTCACATACATAATATCCATGTCGACGGCATAGTAATTTAGCGCAATTACACTTTCGAAATAGTTGCGAAAAACATCCCGTTGTTTCTTTATCTTTATTTTTATCAGTGCTAAATTTACGTGATTTGCTCCTCACAACAAAAGTTCTCGTGTAGTTGCAGAGAACCTTTGTGTTCTTCATTACACATTTATACCACGGTTCCTAATTAATTTAGGAGATTTATTTTACGTTTTTCAGATAATATTTTAGTTAAAAAGAATTAAATGATGTTAGCGAAAAAGTAGTTTAAAAGTCAAATTTTTCTTAATAGTTAGAACTGAAAATTAATAAATAATACATTCATACCTTAAAGGATATACGCTCTATAAGATCTTCTCGTAAGAGCCAAATAGATTCATACCTCGGATTGTCATTATGACTGCAAGTGATTGCTGAAAGATCAAGGGCACCCTCTTTTGATGAAATATACCAAGAAGAAGTTTTGCTGTTACCATATGAACCATAATATATATATGGTTCACCAGGTTCACCACGAACGCAAAGACTTCGGTGAACACCGACAAGATCTCTGATATTCGCTGGATTATGATATCCCTTACGATATTCAAGAAAGCCGCCCAAAGAAACAAAATTATCAGGATCATCCGTTAAAGGTTGGCATACATAGCCAGTGCCCGGGCCTACAGAGAGCAAGTCAAAGTAGGCTAAATAATCTTTTTTGACAACAGGGCGTAAAAGACCTTGAGCATACGGCTTCTCTCTAACCACAATACCATGTTCATTAGAGGTTCCTGAAGCGTAAGAAACTGCCAACCATTTCCTGTAATAATATAAAAACATTAATAAGAATATAACTCCACATACAATATACAGTATATTTTATCTTTTAATAGTTTCACCATTTGCTTCCTTCGGAAATAACTGGCCTGAATCCACGGTCTCGATAATATCCGGTAGCTCTAGTTAAAGACACTAATGCATATTCCAGGTAGGGAGGGTTAAAAGGCTTGAATTTCCTTCTATGAGTGTCAAAATAAATCGGCAATGCGTTTACAAACTGTTTTTTTCTGTTTTCATCATCCACCAGATCTCCGATAAATGAAAGACTATGTAAAATGTTGACGTTAGAATTTTAAGCTTAATAAAAATTAAGCTTATACTGTAATCAATAAATACCTGTCAGATCTGTCAAATGTTATAAAAACTGGGTTGTCTGGAACTGTTGCTATCCAAGCATTCACATTTGGATGCATCATGTCGTTCCCAAGTGCGCTGATATTCCCACCACAGCCAATTAAAGTAATCTCGCTGTTTTCTCTTAATTTCTTAACTTCCTCTTTATATTCATTTGAAACATTTCCATGGAATATTTCTTCCGCTGCAGCTTTCGCAATCGTTTTGAGGTCTGTACTGGAATTATAATTGAGTTTATTGGTGCAAATGCTGAGTACTATGCGACCCCCTACTTTGTGACTATGGATAAAATGAGTTCCGTATCGTTGGAAAATTGTCTCCGGTTCGATTTTTGGATCATCAATTTCATCCCGAATTTCAGATCTAAGACATTTCCGCAATACCAAAGGTGATGAAGTTAGGTGAAGAAGGTGGGATGTATAATTATATTGAATTCTGCTAAATTTTCGAAATGTACTATAGTCGACAACCTCCCCAAATTCTGTTTCTAAAGAGCCGGTAAACCCCAAAAATTCTCCCCCTAAAAAACATTAATATTATCAATAACTCGAACAGTATACGATGATCCATGTTATCATTAACCATTCCATTTTACCTATATTTACAGATTTCGAAATTGATTGATGATATTCATCTAAACCTTCACCAGCAATGGAGAAGTATTCAAACGTTATCTTTGGGTAAAACTAATACAAATGGAAGAAATAAAAATTTGAAGCCTATTATTTATTATTGTTTTATCATTCTTCTTACATTAACGACCCTAGGTATGATATAGGTCTGGCCATTAAACTTCACTTCACGCGTCGGAATATTGCTCCAGTCAAAGAGATTTTCGGTACATGATTCACTTTGAGCATAATAACCATTTAAACAATCATATCCGGATCCAAGTTCTTCAAGCCCAGGTAGCAAAGACATATTACAGTATAAATGTTCATGCTACGATCACGGTATGTATTTATAACAATCGTAGTAGACTCAGCCAATTTTTTGTATCACAATATAATATCATCACAAATGCCCAAATCCGTATTCAGTCAAATATACAGTAACTTTTTTGTAAAGACGGGAAATTGAAATTCAATTGTTATTCCTTGATTTTTTCTTTTATAATGGAGTTATTTATTTAATTTATTTGATTTTTCTAACATTTATATACAATGTACAACTCTACATAAATAAAGCTAACAAATTACATGTACAGTACGTATTCTGTTACTGGTTAGATTCGTAAGTCTATTATTAAATAATAACAAAATATATTTTTTAATCGTTAATCAAAGTAAGAGTAATTGGGTAAGACATACCGTATATTTGACCTGTAGGTAAAGTTTATTTTACCATGTATTTATATGTTACAAATAGTTTCAATGTTAATTATACCAAATATTGATACATAATATATATATATATATACTTAACAAAAAAATTCTTACAATAGGTCATTGTCTTTAAAGAAAAAAATCAGTAAAAAAATCTTTGATATAAATTTATTTAACAAATATTAACAAAAATATTAATGAAAAACATCATTGCATAAATTTGCTTAAAAATATTACTGAAAAGTGTGCTTACTAAATTATAATCAGATAGATAATTAGAATTATGGGTAGTAAAGCAGAGTTTTAGTTACTATTTTGGCCGAAGAGGGGTGTTCTTTATGTATCACTTATGCGGCACCCTTACTGCATTTGTGTAGGTGCGCTTACAATGATTTCAAGTGAAATTTCTGAATTATGGAAACTCTGGATATTTTTATATAGTTTACTAGCGATATAATTCAAATAATATTTAATTATGTTATATAAAATATATCTACAGTATTTATCTATCTATATTACTAAAGCGCTAACCTCTGTCAGCTTTGGCGTAAAGATCAGTGGTTGACTGAGAATAAATAATGCCAGAACGTTATTCAAATTGAGCTATTTCAAAGTTGGAATCCGATACGATCCATTCATATATTTACCACTTTCCCCAAAATAAAGGTTAGGAAAGTATTTATTGAATATTTATTTTGACAAAACTTCCCTACCATCCTTAAATCTAAGACACCTAAGTATAAACAGAGCCGATCGTAGCCAACTTAAAGCAGTAGGCTTATCATAGTACACTAACAATGTTCATTAATTTTTCTTGGCTTTCAAATCGACATAAACTTATTAAACTTATTAAACTAAAAACCATATACTGTATATTACGCTTGATTACATCAGCAGTATTTAAGAATAATATACTTAGCTAAATATTTGCTTTTTATGGTACATATGGCATGTCACCTCACTAAACAAGAACGAAGATAAGTAGATAAAAATAATTTATCATAAATATTAGGTATAAAGCATAGACATAAGAACGTGTACCTGCACAGGTAACTCAAGTGCTGTAAGGATGCCACACGAGTGATGTATAAAGTACACCCCCTATGCGGCTGTAAATAGCAGAAATCCGTTTCACTAAAAATTGCAATTATCGAGAGTTAACCAGTATTTGTCCTTCCGCAACTCTTTCCTCATAATATACTGTATAAGTCGCCATGCCTATCACTCTCGTATGCCTCGTTAAAGGAAACACATCTGCAGACGCTTTCTCTATTGATATTGATAGAAACCAACTTGTTAGAGATCTCCGGAATATTATCAAAGCGGAGAAGACTGATGATTTTGGTGGTGTTGAAGTAGATAAACTCAAGCTGTGGAAGGTTCAAATTCGCGACGATAATGATAAGGAGTTAAAAAAACTTACACTCCATGATGACGATTGACTTCTCGCGACGAGAAAGATTAGTAGTTACTTCACCGACCAGCCACTCGATCAGCACATCCACATCATTGTTAAGCCACCTGTGCCGCATATTAGTTTTGATCTTGTATGTAGGCTAAGACTTTTGACTGAAGGAGATAGCGTAGAATACCTAGAAAAAGATAATTATAAGGCAACATTACGTGAAGGTCGTCTTTATACCGAAGATGGAAAATATCGTTCGTTTACAGAATTCATACGAGCAGCAAGGGGATTAAAACCAAATGAAAATCCTAAACCTGATGATTTTCACAACCTAAAAATCAATGGTATGACTTATTTGGAAATTCGCGATGAAGTCTACAAGTTGATTTTTTGTAGCGGGCAAGATGAAGACGCGATTGGTTGAAGAAATCGGTGAAATGCGCCAGCAATGCTTTCCTACTATATGGTTCGATCGACAATTGATATTTGAATTCAAACATGAAGACTTCGAACCAGGAGACTCGGGAGCGAGTGTTGTGGACAAAAAAGGAAACGCTCTTGGTATCCTCCATGCATCATGGATGACAGAAAATTACAGAGACCACAGATACTCGTATGCTATTGCTTCTCCTTACTTTGCTATTTTTGAGGCACTGGAAGTTTACCCAGCTTCTAATCCCACAGTTATTGCAGAAGCATCAAGTGCGAATAATTGATGTTTTTGCAGCTAAAGCCTGATTTTATCTTTTTGTACATATATTTTGAGATGACCTCGTTAAATCAAAATAAACAAATAAAGAGTATTAAAATTGCATTTACATATCCCATATCCAATCGATTATAACTACTAGTGCTAGGGGAATACCTTCGAATCTTCTTTAAATATAGAGCGGGACTTTTCTTGATAATATTTCAATGGAGATATCTCAATTAACAACTCTATATCAGAACAGGTACATATTGATATTGTAACAGTGAGAAATGGGACGCAACTTTAGTCACGTGACCAATCGTCGTGACAATGGTAAGTTGGCTGTGATAATTAGGTAATAAAGGAAGGTCAGGAAGGATTGTGAAAAAGAATTATGGAATTTAGCTTTAGCTATGTTGCTGTATCATCAATTATTATTATGTCTAAGCCGCTATAGCCAAATGAAAAGTATAAATAACGTGTAAAGTATAGAGAAGGAAAAAAAGAAACACAAAATTAGAAAGTAGAAATTAATAAAGACTTGGTCAAATAAAAACATGCCTAAAATCATCCACTCATTCATTTACCTGACAATGGTTACATGAATCTTTGCTAAAGTTAGCAACTGGCTCACCATTACACCATTACAATATTCACATTATATGTATCAATTTTTCACTCTTATAGTTATGTCCATAGTATTAAAAAAATTGATATTTCTTTAGAAAGTTGTATATCTTCTTGTAATTGGAAGATAATCTCTTCAGACTCAAACTCTATATGTTGAAATAATTTATCATGTAATTCAATAATTTTATATATTATCTTTTTTCAATCTTTTTACTCTGTTTTATTATAATAATATCCCATTATATCAATACATATCCAGTCTTTAATTTTGTTAGTATAATAAAAAGTCATAAAGATTGTTATTAAATGAGACTTTCCTGAATGTAAGAGTTGAAAAAGAATTAATTTTGATAATTAAATTGCTTGGATTACACATTTTAAATTATAATGAATATTGATTTCCTTCTTGGTATTACTTTCCTACTTGTATTTTTATTTTTTATTATTTTCTTAGTTTAATAAAAATACTCTTATAGCAATATGATATTAGCATAAGCTAGATTCTTAGTCTACAGCTTTTTTCTGATAAATTGATATTTCTTTAGATTTTTTCTTATTAATTTATTTAGATACTATTATTGGTAACTGTTATAACTATTAACAAAATAAATCCTGAAAACAACTCATTCATAAAAAAATTCAATAATAAATATCTGCGAATTATATTTGAAAGATAATTAGATTTAAAAAATCTAATGGATTAATTAAAAGAAAGCATATATATTAACATTTCAAAATAAATGAAAAAAATTTTGTTATACTCTTGTTCTTCAAAACAATAAGAATTTGTAGGATATTTCAAATAATCTATCAAATATAATACTAAAAAAAAATGGTATCTTATTACATCTGTACATAATAATTTTTAATTTCTTAATAAGTTAGTAAAGTTTTAATATCTAATAATATCAGAGTATATTACAAATTAAGAAAGTTGAACTTTAATTCACTTAGAACAACTTATTAATCAAAGTGCCATATTTCAAGTAATTAATATTATAAATGTTTGTTATTTTTTATATTAAAATATTCATTTCACCAAAGCAATAGGTTCTGATTAAATTTTGCTAAACATTTTAAAGCATATATGTTATATAATATTTTTTATATATTAGTTTATACACAGCCAGCATATATAATTTCAAATACCAAAAATATATCAATAAGTTAATTTGGGGACTGGTACTATTATCTAATTATATCAATTATTTTTTTTTTACTGTTAAGATGAGACATGTCTCATGATCTTTATTGATACGTAATTATTATTATTACATGGTTAATTTTTAAGATATGAGATATATGGACAAAGTAAACTATGTACATATTAGTCTACCACCTATTATGGTAGATATATTTTTACTAAAAAAACCCTTGAGCAGGGAAAAAGTTAAGAAAGGAACTATCTACATATAAAGACAAAATAAATTATCTATATAAAAATTTGGGGGCAAGATCGCCATAGTATAAGTGAAGGAATGTGGAGATATTGAAAGTTGAAGGTTAGTAGTTTTGACGTGAAGTTGCTATATACGTTAATTTAAAGTCAGGATTAATCACTTCCTGAAAGCCACATATAGTTAAGAAATTAGGAATGAAAATTGTTAAAGTGGTGATAGTGGGTATTGAGTTTTGAATACAATTATCTTTTGTATTAACAATTCCTCCCACAGGGCACAAACCAAATGTGTCTACCTAGGTTACCGCTTCCTTTTTGATAGCTGGATGTGACTCCAGCAACAGTAGAGGAGCACTGGCTTAGGCTGCCAGATTATGGGGTGCAACTCCCTGGTATTTCACTTCTACTCACAATGAAAGTATTTGCTTTCATCCACATTGGTTAGGCTTAGGCTGCCTTTTTTTTTAACGGTAGCATTTCTGCTCGTGGGTTGCAACTCCATTGTTAACGATAATTGTGAAAAGTTGTGTGGTTTGTAGGTTGGTGATGTAGTTGAGATAGTAGTAAGTCGGGTATGAAGCCTGCTTCAATCTTGTTGTGTTATTTTGATGCTTTTTTAGTTAAAGATTACTGGAACCTGCACAGGGCACAGTCATGCGCTCTCCCAATTCAGTATGTGTCGATCAATTGTAATTGTTGTTGTTGTTATTGTTAGTGTGTGAGTATTGTGATAAAGAAAATGTTGTTGGGTGTGGGAATTTTTGATTAGAAACTGGTTATGAATGAGTTTAAACAGGTTTGATATTGTTGTTAAGGAGTGAAGATGTTTTATTGGTCATTTGTTGAGTGTAGATCTTTGGATGGGGTGAAACTGATTATGGTTTTTGAGTGGATTTAAAAAATTTGTAAAATAATGAAGAAGTAGTATGTGGTATTGTTTTAGGAATAGAGAAGAAAAATAATAAATTTGCAAAGGTTGTGTTAAGACAAACATTAGACCCAGTAACTTTGTTTGAATGTGTTATTAGAATTGAGTTTTTGTTATAGAGGATGAAAGGTGAGAGGAAAGACGGTTATTATGATCATAAAGGGGAAGGTACCTAAAAACAAAAATTATAAAGGAAGGCTGCCACAGGTCTTTTCTCATGCAACTAAGAGCTAAGAAAGACTCCCAACTTGCTTAGGTCTTGACCAAAGGTCCCATCCCAATGCAACAGTTTTCCTTGAAGTCTTTATGTCCTTTAGGTTTAAAGCTTATTTGCCTTAGAGAATAAAGAGAGAAAAACACTTCTTGAGAGAAAATTTCCTAAAAAGAAAATTTTCAAAAAATCAGCGGTGAACGGGTGAGAGTTTTTTTTTTTTTGAAGATCAAAATTAGATTTTATTATTATTATTATTATTTTTATTATTTTTTTTTTATTTTATTTTTTTTTATTTATTATTTATTTATTTTTATTTATTTATTTTTTTTTATAGTGGAATGTATGCAAGGTGTGTGATCTTTATTGATACGTTTATATATCCAGACAGACACCAAGTGTCTTTACAAATTAATCAGAAATCGGTTGGTATATGGATACCCATTATGTCTCTACAAATTAATCTGCAGATTAACACTGCCTAGTGCCTATATTACTATAAGACTAGTTACGCCAACCACTATTACCCAACTTATGTATTCATTTAAACACCACGTAGATATGTCCACATGTCAGATGGAACTTCTGCAAGGGGGGAAATCCTACCACTAGTTTAAACTCGCCTAAACCTGCTGGTTCATTATTGCAGAGAGCAGTGTAGTATGGGATGTTATTATAGAGATTAACCCTAGTCATTCCAATCACCTGTTATCACTGATCCTTAGAATGTGCCACTAGTGTAGTGCAGCACTACCATTTTTACCACCTATGGAACTGGCGTCCTTGCTTGGATTCTGATTTAATCTTTATGATCCTCACCAGACACACTTGGTCTTAATGATTTTTGCTTGGATTGTCACCTTTTATAGTGGATAATCTTTGCCTTTTCGGTCCATTTAAGTTCAGAAGAACACTACTCATAGGATAGATCTTCAAGCTCCAAATTGGAATAGATTAGTTTAGAATTAACATCTTTTTGGGTTGTGTGACAAAGTCTGCCATTACCAGTTTGGGTTAAGATTTTTTTTGGTGGGCTTTTATCAGAATTAAACCAGAAGCCTTTCCTTGTGCAACCTTTCATGCTTTGACCTGTTTTCAGCCCGCGATCGTCAGGAAAACCAGAGGTTCCATTTTCATGCAGCCTAACTAAATTTGGAAGTAAATTGTCGACTAATTGGGTATGACATGAATTGGAAGCCGGTAAATCAATCATGAAGGTAATAGATTTTTGTAACCAGGTAGGGTTGAACCCTAGACCTTCTCCTGATAACTTATGAAGCACTACCACTGTGCTATAGACCCATAGGTCTTATTTATTTATTTTTATACTATTATTGTTTATAATTTTATTTAATAAAATCGTGTTTAAAATCATATCAAATAAATAATGAATAAGCATATAAGTGCAAAATTGACGATATCATTCTTTTTTTTTTTTAGAGCAATGGGCAGCAATAAAGATCTAACAGCTGAACAATAAGGTGCCATTATTTTTGGATACCTTAGAAAAGATTCACTTCATACTATTGCAGCTCTGATAGGTTGCAAAAAATCTGTTGTAGGAAACATTATTAAAGAGTTTTGCAAGACAGGTACTATAGAATCACAAAAAAAAATTAATGCCCAGGACATCTGAAATTGCTTATCCCTTCTGACCATTTTAAACTTAAGAATCTAGTTATTAATGAAAATTGCCATTTAAACCTTTCTCAGATTACTAACCTTTTTATTGCTTAGGAAGGAATTAGCATCTCAAATGTGTTATCCGTCATGCACTGCATAAAGAAGATTTAAATTCCTGTATTGCTCATTCTAAACCATTAGTCTCTTCAAAAAATGCAATCAAAAGACTTAACT